AAGAACTTGGTGAAGAAGTGCTTGGACATGTTCAACGAGTTGGTGGAAGACGCCGAGAAGTACAAGAAGTTCTACGAAGCGTTCTCGAAGAACTTGAAGTTGGGGATCCACGAAGACACGACCAACCGCACCAAGATCGCCAAGCTCTTGCGCTACCACTCGACCAAGTCTGGCGAAGACTTGACGTCGTTCGACGACTACATCTCGCGCATGCCCGAGTCGCAACCCGGTATCTACTACGTGACGGGCGAGTCGAAGAAGGCGGTGGAGAACTCTCCGTTCATTGAGAAGTTGAAGAAGAAGGGTTACGAAGTGTTGTTCATGGTGGACCCCATCGACGAATACGCTGTCCAGCAGTTGAAGGACTACGAGGGCAAGAAGTTGATCTGCGCCACGAAGGAAGGCATGGACTTGAAGGAAACGGACGACGAGAAGAAGACGTTCGAAGAAGCCAAGGCCGCGACGGAAGGCCTGTGCAAGTTGATGAAGGAAGTGTTGGACGACAAGGTGGAGAAGGTGCAAATCTCGAGCCGCATCGTCGAATCTCCGTGCGTGTTGGTGACTGGCGAGTACGGCTGGTCGGCCAACATGGAGCGCATCATGAAGGCGCAAGCGCTGCGCGACAGCAGCACGTCGTCGTACATGAGCTCGAAGAAGACGATGGAGATCAACCCGTTGCACCCGATCATCAAGTCTCTGCGCGAAAAGTCGGACGTGGATAAGAGCGACAAGACGGTCAAGGACTTGATCTGGTTGTTGTACGACACGTCGTTGTTGACGTCTGGCTTCTCGTTGGACGAACCCACGACGTTTGCCGGCCGCATCCATCGCTTGATCAAGTTGGGGTTGAGCATCGACGACGATGACATTGCCGAAGAAAACTTGGACGACTTGCCTCCTCTTGAAGGCGACGAAGGCTTGGAGGAATCCACCATGGAAGAAGTCGATTAAATAATTGAATGAACTCTCGTATCTATAGCACTTTGGACAGTCTGTAGTATTAATACTTCGTAAGTTTACTGGCGGATAAGCCAAAATAGGATCACAAGTACTAGTACTCATAGTCGTTCGAAATTCTCTGTACTGAATTATTAATTAGTGCTACTACAGTATTATACTTCGAAGTAGCACATTTTATATTAACGTTACAGAGGTAGTATTCGGCAGCGTTGAATCACGAGGACCGATGATACTGATAAGTCGTTGATTGAAAATCCTACATAACGTTAAGCCAAATCACTGTGTCTTTCGCACCGTTGGGGGATTTCGTACAGGCCCAAACTCACTTTCTGTCGTTGTTTTTCCTGTTTGGGGAAGTCCATGCCAAAATATATCATGGCGAATACGCGTTTCCGAGATGACGTTTCTATAAGTGGAGGCCTTCCAAAACCTGGACAAGTCAACTTGCGAAGTGTCGGCAGTAGCACCTGCTTCTTGTCGTCTAAAATCGCCAGCGACGTCATGTATGCGTATACGCCTTGTCGACCAACATCAAAGCCCCCTTGCGGCCTCATTCCAATACTAGTATATCAGCCTAACTCTCCGAGCTCACCATCATACATACTAGTAGTTCAGGCGGCGAGTGGCGAAACGACGTAGAGTAGATATAGCGCATGAGAAACTATGTATCTACGCAAGTCAGTCGTAAGTCGGCGGCTTGGAAATATAGACTGCCACGCTAATGGCGCACCGGTAAAGGTCAAACCGACCGACAATGCTATGTGTTTCAACGTTGTGCGTCGGTGTGATCTTCTCCTTCCCGAAGGAGTCGTGCAGTCATCACTACTAACTCTAGGCATGCGCAACCCATAAGATCAACGCCTAGCTAACCTGAAATCATTTACAATACACAGAGCCTAGGGTTCAGTACAAGTAGGAGGTCGCGCGGGAGGGGCATGTGTACAGCGTTCGATGCGTTCTGTGTGCCGCTACCCTCGATATGGAAATGACTTACCACAGCCGTGCTTCACATGGGTAAAGTTCTCCCGTCGAGGACCTACCAGTACACACCGGAGTGGAGTGACGAACCACAAGGGTGTGCTTTGGGCGTGCTCCTGCGAAATGTATGATGGTGAGCTCGGAGAGTTAGGCTGATATACTAGTATTGGAATGAGGCCGCAAGGGGGCTTTGATGTTGGTCGACAAGGCGTATACGCATACATGACGTCGCTGGCGATTTTAGACGACAAGAAGCAGGTGCTACTGCCGACACTTCGCAAGTTGACTTGTCCAGGTTTTGGAAGGCCTCCACTTATAGAAACGTCATCTCGGAAACGCGTATTCGCCATGATATATTTTGGCATGGACTTCCCCAAACAGGAAAAACAACGACAGAAAGTGAGTTTGGGCCTGTACGAAATCCCCCAACGGTGCGAAAGACACAGTGATTTGGCTTAACGTTATGTAGGATTTTCAATCAACGACTTATCAGTATCATCGGTCCTCGTGATTCAACGCTGCCGAATACTACCTCTGTAACGTTAATATAAAATGTGCTACTTCGAAGTATAATACTGTAGTAGCACTAATTAATAATTCAGTACAGAGAATTTCGAACGACTATGAGTACTAGTACTTGTGATCCTATTTTGGCTTATCCGCCAGTAAACTTACGAAGTATTAATACTACAGACTGTCCAAAGTGCTATAGATACGAGAGTTCATTCAATTATTTAATCGACTTCTTCCATGGTGGATTCCTCCAAGCCTTCGTCGCCTTCAAGAGGAGGCAAGTCGTCCAAGTTTTCTTCGGCAATGTCATCGTCGTCGATGCTCAACCCCAACTTGATCAAGCGATGGATGCGGCCGGCAAACGTCGTGGGTTCGTCCAACGAGAAGCCAGACGTCAACAACGACGTGTCGTACAACAACCAGATCAAGTCCTTGACCGTCTTGTCGCTCTTATCCACGTCCGACTTTTCGCGCAGAGACTTGATGATCGGGTGCAACGGGTTGATCTCCATCGTCTTCTTCGAGCTCATGTACGACGACGTGCTGCTGTCGCGCAGCGCTTGCGCCTTCATGATGCGCTCCATGTTGGCCGACCAGCCGTACTCGCCAGTCACCAACACGCACGGAGATTCGACGATGCGGCTCGAGATTTGCACCTTCTCCACCTTGTCGTCCAACACTTCCTTCATCAACTTGCACAGGCCTTCCGTCGCGGCCTTGGCTTCTTCGAACGTCTTCTTCTCGTCGTCCGTTTCCTTCAAGTCCATGCCTTCCTTCGTGGCGCAGATCAACTTCTTGCCCTCGTAGTCCTTCAACTGCTGGACAGCGTATTCGTCGATGGGGTCCACCATGAACAACACTTCGTAACCCTTCTTCTTCAACTTCTCAATGAACGGAGAGTTCTCCACCGCCTTCTTCGACTCGCCCGTCACGTAGTAGATACCGGGTTGCGACTCGGGCATGCGCGAGATGTAGTCGTCGAACGACGTCAAGTCTTCGCCAGACTTGGTCGAGTGGTAGCGCAAGAGCTTGGCGATCTTGGTGCGGTTGGTCGTGTCTTCGTGGATCCCCAACTTCAAGTTCTTCGAGAACGCTTCGTAGAACTTCTTGTACTTCTCGGCGTCTTCCACCAACTCGTTGAACATGTCCAAGCACTTCTTCACCAAGTTCTTCTTGATCACGCGCAAGATCTTGTTTTGCTGCAACGTTTCGCGCGAAATGTTCAACGGCAAGTCTTCCGAGTCGACCACGCCCTTGACGAAGCTCAAGTATTCAGGCATCAACTCCTCGCAGTTGTCCATGATGAACACGCGGCGCACATACAGCTTGATGTTGTTCACCTTCTTCTTGGCACCGCCTTCGAACATGTCGAAAGGCGCGCGCTTGGGCACGAACAAACACGCCTTGAACTCCAGTTGGCCTTCCACTTCAAAGTGCTTCACGGCAGCATGCTCTTCCCAGTCGTTCGTCAACGACTTGTAGAACGCCGCGTACTCCTCGTGGGTCACGTCTTCGGGCTTGCGCATCCAGATAGGGCGTTGGCCGTTCAAGTGGTTCCAGTCGTGCGACACTTCCTTGATCTTCTTCGTCTTCTTCTTCTTGTCGTCATCACCTTCCGTGATTTCTTCCACCTTGGGCTTGTCGTCTTCGCCCTCCTTCTCTTCCTCTTCTTCGTCTTCGTCGTCCGTGACTTCCTTCTCGGTCGTCTTCTCCACGTACAACTTGATGGGGAACGAGATGAACTCAGAGTGCTTCTTCACCAAGTCCTTCAACTTGCGTTCTTCCAAGTACTCCAACATGTCTTCCTTCAACTTCAACACGATGCGGGTACCGCGCTTGATGGGCTCGGACGAGTCGGCAGACACAGTGAACGAACCGCCGGCAGCGGATTCCCACACGTGTTGTTCGTCGTCGTTGTGCTTCGAGTGCACCGTCACACGGTCGGCAACCAAGTACGCAGAGTAGAAACCCACACCGAATTGACCAATCATGGAAATGTCGGCACCGGCGGCCAACGCTTCCATGAACGCCTTCGTGCCAGACTTGGCGATCGTACCCAAGTTGTTCACCAAGTCGGTCTTGGTCATACCAATGCCCGAGTCTTGGAGGGTCAACGTGCCGTTGGCCTTGTCAGGGATGATCTTGATTTCCAAGTCCTTGTCGCTGTCCAACACGGACGCGTCGGTCAACGACTGGTACCGGATCTTGTCCAACGCATCGGACGCGTTCGAGATCAACTCGCGCAAGAAGATGTCCTTGTTCGAGTAAAACGTGTTGATGATCAAGCTCAACAACTGGCTGATGTCGGCGGAAAACGCAAACGTTTCGGCGCCTTCGGTGGTCGACATGATGCTGCTGGTTGTGCCTTCTGAACAAAATTGAAAAGTGAGCTTCCATCCATTGCGTCGCTAGATGGCCTGTCTGGTTTCGAGAAGCTTCGACGTTTCAGCCAATCATACGCCCCCATTTTCCAAACAGCCAATCCCGACGCTCTAACTGCCCAATCCCACCAAGCCACTCGACCTTTCGCGCGCTTCTAGATTTTTACGTTGACCGGATAAATATCCGTATCGTTCGCTTTTCAAGTTTTGGAAGTTTCAAGGTACCCAGCAACTCGGTCGCTGATTGGCGCATGCCGTTTCGTTTGACTGAACGTACGAGATGACGTGGCACCACCACAAACAAGGGACGTGTGTGTCCAGTTTATGGTGTACTTGACAGAGACTTCGTCGTAGAATGCAGCTTACTCGTCTCCCAGGACCGGGATTTCAATTCTGAAAAGTGCTGCATGAAGCCGAAAGGTTGGGCATTCTTCTGATTATTTAATCGGCTGGAATAGACTTCAGTTTAGCGTTCATTTACTTCGATTCCACTCACAAGTCAAGGCAAAATAGGAAGGACAGTTTATGGTGCACGGTTTAAGCTTAAAATATGTATGCTGTTTTTGCGTATGTTTTAGTGATTTCATTTTTCTAGTGATTCGATTGGCTACTCCAAAATTCAAGCAATTCCATTGGCCAATTTGAGTGTACCTTAAACTGCCCCGTGCACCATAAACTGGCCATACTTTGAAGGACATGATACTTTCAGTGTTGGCTGCTCGATCGTTAGATTTGAACCTTGTACACGTTTACCCCTTGTTTGAGCACAAAGCATTCGTTGCGAAGGATCTCGACGAAGTCTCGAAAGTCGTCGACGTCCAGCGCCATGCTGTTGGCCACTTGGAGCAGTTCGTCCATGGAAAAGAGCTGGCTGTTGCGCTGAGCGACGCTCTTCCTCAGTCGCGCCACGTACGCCTTGACCTTCTTCGCGAGGCTCATGCCGCCGCTGCGTCCGAAGTCCAAGTGCCCTTCCTCGGTCGTGTACGTGTCCAGCAAGCACTCCTGCATGATCTCCACCACATCGTATGCATGTTGGACAGTCACAACGTCCTGGAGCTCGATCTTGGCGCGGGCTTGGGCCAGTCGAATCAACGACTCGAGCTGCCGCATCGTGATGGGGATGCCGTCGCCGGCCGCCGTTTCCGCGTCCGACCGCATTTGCAGGTACTTGTCCTGGAGGTACTGCCGCGCTTCTTGCGATAGTTGCGGGTGAATGTACTTGCGCGCGTAGGCAATGTATCGCCGAATATGGTACAGACTGATCGGGTCGTCCTGCATCTCGAGGGAATTCGCGACCAACCGTTGCTTCAACGTCACGTCTGTCTCGGCTTGGGTGGCCAATTGTCTAAATTAAACACGAATAGTAGTAGTAGTACTAGTACTAGTACTAGTAGAGATAGAGCTGGTGGTTGGAATTACGTGAAACGTGGGTGGGGGTCGTGGCGTCGCTGGCGCTTGTGCGGGTGCGCCAAGTGGTTGTGCATCACATGCTCAGACAGAAGCTCATCCCTCGACGCATCTGGGCGATCCAACAGCACGAAAATCAAGTCGAATCGAGACAACTACACCCCGATTATACATGTAAGTTCCCACATAATATTTATCTCATGGATGTATATATATATATATATATATATATATATATATCATACCAACGCGGCCTTCATTTTCAGGTTCTCGCTCACACTGCGACTGCGATTGTAGTGGCCGCCGGATGGGTTGGCGGCGGCAATCACGGACGTCCGCGCGTTCAAGTTGCACACAATGCCAGCTTTGGCGATGCTGATGCTTTGCTGCTCCATCGCTTCCAGCAGCGCCTGGTAGTCGCACGCCATCTTGTCGAACTCGTCGATGCAGCACACCCCCTACAATCTTGTTACACTCCATATATATATATATATATATATATATAAACACGAAAACGGCGGTGAAAAAAAAAAGAAGGTGATAATATATACATAGATATTCAAACAGGAAATGGATCGTGAAGACGATATATACTTTGAAGTATATAATAAAGACACGAAATGCATGGTGGAGTTGATATATATATATATATATATAAACAGGAAGTGGATATAGAAAAGTTGATATATACTACGTAGTACACTGGAAACGGATATACTAAACTGGAGCAAAACGTACCTGGTCCGCCAACACGAGCGCGCCTGCTTCGAGGGCGTAGTCCCCGGACGAGTCCTTGACCATCGTGACCGTGAGGCCCGTGGTCGTGGCCGTGTTGCCGCCGACGTACACCCCCCGAGGAGTGATCATGGACACGGCTCGAAGCATCTACCAGTCGTCAAAGCATCTTCATCTTATATTTACACGGGGGCATCGGCCATATACAAGTGGGTTGCCGGATGTGTACAGTATTGGAAGCTAAACAGGTTCAACTACCTAGCCTATCTATTGTACAGTACGTACTTGGCTTTTCCCCAAGCCTGGATCGCCCACTAGCAACACGTGCGAGTCACTTCGAGTAAACACTGCGTTATCTTCTTTCTTCTGGGCACCTCCAAACAACGCCAACAACAGACCCGCCTATCTCGCTTTGAAACCCAAGCACATATATATATATATATATATATATATATATATTTAATGATCCACAGAAGCGTGTAGACCTTACTACCTTGACCAGTTCATTGCGATAGATTCCAGGACAAAACGAATGGATGAGGCGGTCAAACACTTGGTCGTCGTGTGCGATGGTGTAAATCGCATCCAGATCCTACAATTCACCATGTCTCAGAATATGTACGACCCAACCTCATTGTTACCTGGGGCGAGAATTCCGCCGTGTCTTCCTTGGACGTCTATCTCGATTAATATTATTATTGTGACCAAAATATACACTGAATATATATATAGACAGGAGCGATGGACGTACCTCGGCCTGGTTGTGGTTGACGACAGAGTTGGCGACAATGTACAGCACATACAAACTGCTCGCTTGCGCCTGCTTGCCAAAGCGGCCGCTGTGCACTTCCGAGTTGACGGCTTTGACGGGTCCGCAGATTGTGACGATGCTGCCAGGCACACACGAATCCACCAAGTCTTCTGTGAGTTCCACTTCTACCTACAACATATCCAAAACACTATATAATAATATTTCAATAAAAAAAATCTTTAAAATTATATATATATATGAATGAATGATGAATGAAATATATATATAAATAAAATTAATATATATATATATATATTGCTAAATGTCTTGGTGGAAACATATATATATATATATATATATATATAGTATACCATGCGTGGAATGCGACCCGCGGCGGCGTCCCCGTTGTCTACTTCTTGAATTCTACGCCAAAATGTCAGGAAAAAATACAATTTAAAAGAAAATTCACTTGATTTTCTGAAAATCGACCGTCTTGGCCGCGCTTCGGTTGGGAATGAGCGTGGATTTACTGCGACACGTGCCGCAAGAGGCGGGCGGGTCGTACTTGCCGTCGGGAAAGTACCGTTCCGTGACGCCTTCGCACTTTTCGCAGAGGAACTCGCAGTGCACGACGAGGGGTTTGATTGCGTTCACGCGCGTGACGGTGCCCGTGACCGACACAAACTGGTCCACCACGTGCGCCTTTAGGTCCCCGATCGACGTCTCCGGCTCCAGCCCTACGATCCGCACGTTGATCTTCTCGGTGTGCATCTCCATGCGTGGCCGGGGGTGGATGTCGTACTCGGACGTGTCCAGTTCGTCTTCGTGGCGCAGCTAACGAGGCAAGATATGCGACGATGATGCCTCGTTCGACGAAGCTGTGTATGGATGGATACATACATACCATGCACAACGCCAACCCCAAACTGCGCAGGTAATGGTCGTACCCGACGACAAAGCAATCGTGTGCGTCGTCGCCAAACAGCGAAAACAAGTGCTTACACGGAATCGTGACCACGTCCACATCGGACAAGTTGTACTACGTGACATGTCTGTCGTCAATGCGATGTCGTAGAGACGTTCACGAACATGGGCCAAGAAACCATCCGGCTTGCGACTCTCCCGAAGCATATCCTTGAATCCCAGCAAGGCAGGAAACATCTCAGCGTCATTGATGTCACTTTCGTCCTCTGTCATGTAGTACTCCTTCCACAGCGGTGCCAACGCCACACTCCATTCCTCCCGCGTTAGCATATTCGCTTGTTCAAATTGTAATTTCCGGTACTCCGGATAATCGTGGAATCCGGATACTGTAGTGAACTTCATTCCTGGTGAAACGAAAGTGCAGCTCCAAATTACAGAGATCAACATGGCATTGGACTCTAGCTGCTTCCATGGAGCTACTAGCGTCTTACAAGTTGGACGTCATGGGGAGTGGCGGCACGTCATGGACGGAATTCTGTTCGGCCTGGAACGCCCATCGCTTTTGCGCTTTGACGAGTAGGCGCATGCTTTCCTGGTCACCTTCGTCCACATACAACCCCGTCTTGATGGGATCTTTGAGTTGTTTTGCGTTGAGGTTGATCACAGTAAAGTACGCCGTGTGCGACTTGCGTTTCTCGGCCAAGCCCAGGCGTTCGATAAACACTTCCACTTCCACTTCGAGCGTATGCCGCCTATGTAGGTCCATCAGGTCGATTTACCCCTATATTGTATCAGCAGAGCCATCTAGCGTACGCACCGCGCCATGACCACGCGCGCCTTCATGCTCACGACGTCGTTGGTCGTGATGGGCAGTTGGAACACGATGCGATTCATCGTAATCGTCGCCATGTGCACATTTTTCGTGAATTTACGGGCACAAAACACCGCCACCTTGTCCTAAACAAATTCACAAATGTCAAATGTCCGGTCCAGTCGTTACACTATTATCAAATCTATTCAATAATATTGTAACATGGACATTTCGATAGAATCGAATGAATTTTTATTAGGCCACTGTAGTTTGGAAGGACCTAGCCAATCAAACTACACTATTGAGAAAATTTAGCAACCAATTCTAGTTTGGCCCAGCAGTTTGGCCCAACCAAAAAATATATCTTGAGCATATTGCCGATTTGATACAAAGTTGGGGAGGGTGCAATCGAATCGCGCCGACCAAACCGATCCACAACCGATCTGATTGGTTGAATTTCATTGAGAAGGTTTTGATTGGCTAATAATTTTGAGCTCATCTAAGGTAGCCAATCAAATCGATTGAAATTCCAACGAGAAACCACGCCACAACACAATGAAATTTCACTCGAAAGCACAATATATATATATATATATAAAGTAGATTGAGTAAGCTTAAAATCTGACACAAATCGATTATTCGTGAAGCAGCTGACAACGCTCCATGTTTTTTCAGCGCAAACGACAATAACCAATCAGTACTACTACTAGTATGCTTCAGCAAAGGACGATATCCATACAATAACCAATCAGTACTACTACTAGTATGTTTCAGCTCAAAGGACAATAGCCATACAGTACTACTAGTAGTATACAGTAGTAATCAAGCAATGGACGTACCATCCATTGCAGAATTTCGCCGCCAAAGATCGTGTTGTTCATGTTCAAGTGCTTGGGCAAAAACAGGTTCTGGACTTCGACCAACGTGGCTTTGACGGGTACGAAGGTCGTCCGGGAGGCATTCAGCGGGTTCACATCCAGCATGTCCTTGCGAATGTACTCCATTGCGTCCACCTCTTCCTGGATCTTGCGCCATCGCGCGCCCAATTCCTTTCGCTGCGCAGCTTTGTTCGCCCTTTGCCAACATATCACGAACATGTCAGTCGTATATATGGGCAGAGAGTACGTGGTACGGACAACATACATGAATGGAACGAACGTCGGATTCAACGGCGACACGAGCTTTGGCAACCCCGAGCGCGGCCGGCCGTTCTTGTCGATGGCCACAAAGGTTAGGATTGCATCGTGGGTGTGCGTTGTGGTGCCCGTGAGCATATCAACGCGGTACCCCGAGATCTACATGCATTGTCAAGTTCGCGGTGTATAGATCATCGACGATGGTACATGGATGGACGTGGACGTGTTGTTGATGTTGAGGATTTGCCCTTCGAGTTGAAACAAGTCGCCGTGGTACACGGGCACGTGAGACTCGACTTGGTCAAAACTCACAGTCGCACACCCGCCTTGCGTGGCCCTAGACGCACGCATACTATGCATCAGCAACGCAAACAAGCACAATACAGATGGAACGTTGTCGTACTTGCACGCAATAGCTGCGCCAAGCATGTCCATGCGCTCCAGAATGGGTCCTTGGCTCATCCATCGGCCTCGCAGACTCTCGTCGCCCTGCAAGGTCGTCAAAGACAGACCTGCAAACGATGATCACTGATGGAGAACGTACGATGATATCTGCAAAGGACAATCGCGTGGCCTCTTGGTCGATCGTTGTGACTGTACTAAGCTCCTTCATGAGTATAACGTTATGAGAAGGTCGTCGTCGAAGGCTCGAAGCAGCTCGCTGCAACCACATCTGCTCCCAAATGTTGACTGATCAAGAAATATGTAATTACCACCACAATTATTATTTCCATTTTTTTCGATATTTATTGTCAAATTTGGTCGACTTTACGTCAGAAATCCTGGAACTTCGATCGAAATTGGGGATTTCCATAGAACATTTCTGTTAATGTTTGTAATATAATATATTAAACGATCTGCTCCATAGATCAATCATCACGCTTCTCCATTAACCTCCTTGGGCAACAAGAACAAGGTCGTGGCTTCCGTGTAGATGATCCCGTCGTTGTCTTCTAGCTTGGCCTTCATGTACAGCTACATATCACATTCCATTAGCCAAATCGCTTGACAGCATGAATGATCCCAGTAACGGTACCTTGCGGCCGTCTTTCTTTTCAAATTCCGCGGTGAGGATACCGGGCCGTTCGACGGGCAACGGGCGGCGGTAGTTGACGTTCAGGTTGGCCGTGTATCCGATGCGTCCGGTCGTCCAGTACGCCGTCCACTGGAACAGCTCGTCAATGACCGTGGAAATGCACCCGCCATGCACTACCCACACCTTGTTAGGGGACCAAGAAGCAGAACAAGCAGATCAAATCATACCCACGCCTTGGTGGCCGCACAGATTGACGCCAAACTGGATCACACTGGTCGTAAACGTCTTGTCGTTGTGACCGTACACTTCGAGGATCTCGTACTTGCCCGCCCCTTGCAACGAGTGGAGAAAGTGGGAAGCTCCGATCGCAAATCCCGTGTTTTGGAACACGTCCACACTACAGTTCACGGGAAGGAAAAGACGCATGTAAGAGGCGCCATGATCCTCAGGGGGTCTTCAAACCTCATGTGGGTGTAGTTGGGGTCGTTGGAGATTTGCACGAGCTTATGGGGCACTTCAATCTTGGGGGCCATGGAGCGAAAGAGGGGACGGTGCACCAGCTTTTGGGTCGCTACCCGATCCACCATCTTTTGAGCCGTGGCCAGTTTGGGAAGGCCTCGCATGACGACTGAGAGATTGTTGGGAAGTGCCAATGTTCTCAGACCCACCAACGAGAACGTGGCATCCGTGCTTAAGCGGGCTGGGATTGGCCGGGTCACATATGGTCATGCAGATCCAATGGAAATGCTGGGCGTCAAACACGGCGCTGCCATTGGCCACCCGCCAATTCCCGACGAATGTATCGTCCACACATTTCGCCTTGTCACGCTTTCCGACATGCGACAAATACCTCCCCCCTCAGATTCGACACCATCACAACAAAGTCAAAAATGGGGTTATAACTCAATTGAAAAGGCAGTATAATTGTTACAATGCCATCAATTGAAAACCCCATATTAGAACTAGTACAGTAGGGTATTTATAACATTTCTCCTTGGTGTTACTTAATGAAGGTGGATGTGGCGCCCACGCGTCTACTGTCCACGCGATTGGATCGTACAAGATGTTGACACCGGAAGAGTGCTACTAGTAGGTATTAATACTACTACTAGTAGTTTGTTCGGACTAAGTACTTACTTCCTCTGTTCCAGGTTACTGGTGCCATTTGACTTTGAACTGTCCCCCAAAAGCCAATTCTTACTCAAATTTGGCATGTGATATCTTCATTGATTGGAAATTGAAATACAATTTTGCCGAAATTGAGTGTTTTTTAAGCTTTCTCACCAATGAAAAGTCGGTAAATGAACAAAAACTATCGAATTAGCCAATCAAAAACAAATGTCACCACTAACTTGGAACAAACTAAATTTCGAAATGGCACCAGTAACCTGGAACAGAGGAAGTATTCGTTAATTGCAATATCTTCGACAAAGTATAAGTGCTATGTACGACGTGCTTATTTGCAGTGGCGGAAGGAAGTGGCTGGTTCCAGTGCTGTTTGGGCTCATGGTGCTGGTACAGTATCAGCGATGGCGGTTGTGGTGTACTAGTATTTACTCCTATTGAAAAGGACGACTTTATTGGTAGTATCATTAATAATTGAAACTAGTACTACTAAAACCTGTAAGTACAGGAGTACGGTACTTCGTTCGAGTACAGTATTGTACTGTTAATTTACAGTTAGTACTGTACTCTGAGTACAGTAGGCAGTCAAGTGTACAGTACTTACTACTGTACTACCAGTAGCAGTACAGTAGTACACAAGTGTAGTACTCAGTGAACAACACCCAAAGTGTACTCGAGGGTAGTAACAAGTTACTACATGTACTAGTAATACTTCAGGTAGTACACGACAGTATTGTACAGTACAGTCCTGTTCTGTACAGTTCACCGCATCTACCAATTCGACCCCCCCGAGGTTGCAAGTTGCGTTTAATATAATATGCGTTTTTTGTTTTATCGGTGATGTGGCGGAGGCGGACCACGGTAATTCCCGCCTGGGGGCGGCCCTCTGGGTCCTCGGAACGGCGGCGGCGGCCCGCGCATGCCTCGCCCGCCCATCATGGGGGGAAACCCCCCTCGGTGTTTGCTGTGGAGGTACGCCTGGTAGTCGCGATGCACCGACCCCAAGAGGTCCCTGGATGCGTCGCACGCGATGCGGAAGCTTCGGTCGTTGTCTGCCGACACCACGAGCATCAGCGGGTCCTTGGCTTCTTCTCCATTTGCCTACATGCCTCGTCATCGCCACCCATACAGAATATGCCTGTTTAAACAATATCTTCAAATATATATATATATGTTTACCTCAATAAATCCACTTCCACGGCCCCGCAGCCGCACTTTGGCATTGCCACCTGCGTCCAGAATGATCCGCTTGACATGACTGCCGCCTTGGGGTCCGAGGATCTTTTGCACGACGCCAAACTCCTTGTCTTCTTCAATTCCGACAATAAACTGTTCTTCGTTTGCCTTTTTCTCCACCTAAATATTATGCTTTTCAGTCAAATGTGCCTATTTTGGGGGATTGATAAAAAAATATCAACAACTCATCGAGCAAACGAGGATGATTGGCTACAAAGAATATAGGTTGCCATATGATTGGCTAAAAAGATTGATTGTCTCAAAGATATATACCTCTTCAATCTAGTTTTATATAAAATTTCGAAGGTCCGGCGATTGTTCGGCGGTTAACCAACCGTCGAGGAAATATATTTTGAGTCATAGAACGAATACACAATATCAGAGACAGCAAAAACAGCATGCAAACCTCGAATCAAAAGCAATAAGACCGACCTTGGCGCCATCCTGGTTTAAATTGGTCGCTTTGCATCGCTCGGCAAACACATTCGCGAGGGTTTGCGTGGCTTCGAGCGTCAGGGGACCGATGCGAACCCCTCGCTCGAGCCCCGGCACGCTCTTGAGCAAGTCGTTCAGCATAGGCGGTGCGTCAAACACAAAGCGGAAGCGCACTTGCACTGGGAACGGCGTCGCCGTCGTCCCCGGCGGCATGCCGGCGGTGAATGCGTTCGGAATGATGTTCATGCCGACGGAGGACGTGGCTTCAAACATCCCCAACACGTGGCGGTCGCTCATGTTGAGAAGGAACAGCGGCGTGCCCACTTGCACGTTCTTGACTGCGACTTGCTCCTACAGTAATAGCATTAAAGACATGCCACATTAGCCCATCGGATATATGATATTCATTCGTGTTGTTTCGCACACTTGAATGTCTATATATTTGATTCAATATATATATACATACGTTCAATCTTTCACAAGTATCGAAATCCACACACACACACACATCGCCTTTCGAAAAAATAAAAATAAAAATATATATATATATATATATATATATATATATATATATATACAAAACATTTCACGACCATCGAAAGAATAATAATAAAATAATAATAAAAACGCATATCACCATGGGACACGAAACCATCCCCACCTCAACGATGGTTTCTCATTTCAAAACATAAATATATATATGTATACAAGCCTTTAGATGATATATAAAAATCAACACATATACCCCCACACACAACACACACCTCTCTGGCCATCCGTTTAAGGCAAAAGTACAATGTGAAGAATCAATCACGTATTCGTAGTAACAGAGCATACTACTACTACTACTACTATGTAGTACCTGTTACTAGAAATATATATAGTAATATATATACTGGTGAGGTACCATCCATATTACCTGGTCTTTGGCCAATCCAAACAGCATGCGGCCGAAACTTTCGTCGATGGTGGCGCCGTTGCATGCAAAGACGTAGCCAGGGAGGTCCACTTGCCATCGGTGAGCCACGTGGGCACTCGGCATGAGTCGCGCGGGGTCGACAAAGTTGGCGACGCTTTCGGCGGCGTGGCGGCGGCGGTTGGCGAGTTCGAACGCGCCGCCCGGGAGCACGCCTTCATCCTCCACCGACTTGATGTGCAGGCGGATCATCGGGTGAAAGAACATCTTCTCCAGCAACGCATGGCCGCACTCTTTCGTCAACTCGGTCCCATCTGGTCTAGCTCACCGCCAATCAAAATAGGTCGAGTCATGGTGGAATCGTACAATCTGGACAGCGCCGCGTCCTTGGCCGTGGGAATCGTGTCGGCCGATTCGAATGGAATCTCGCAAGTCCGCAGCCATTCCACGCCAAAGTCGCCGCGCCACTCTGCGAACGGCACGGTGCTGTCGGCTAATGACACGCCCGCGTCATCCCCCGTAGGTACTTGCACGATGCGCGCAACGCCTTGGAAATGAAAGCTCGGCGACACGGACAAAAACAAAAATACCTATATATATATATAAGTATATTGTCCGTTTGAGTCCAAGTTGCGTATTTGGGGGATTGATACAAAAATAGCACCAACTCATCGAGCAAACGAGGATGATTGGCTACAAAGAATGAACGTCGCAATGTGATTGGTAGCTAAAACGATTGATTGTTGCAGTCCCAAAGATATGTACCTCTAAAACTTAGTTTTATATGAAATATACAAGGTCCTGCGATTGTCCGTAGGAGGAAATATATTTTGAGGCATACAACACACATACTAGTTCCAAAGTGTGAATGTATGTCATGGCCATACAAAAAAGGACTTGGCGCTTTGAAAGACAAAAAGATATGGGCAAAAACATTCCCATGCATGCAGTATACTGTATCACAACACGACCATGTCACAGGAAAGTGCGTAGAGGTAGGTAGATCCATCACGAACACATCGCCGCCGCCCATCCATCAAGCATAAAAGGTATAAACCTCATATATTTCAATAATAGACGACATCACAAGCATTCAGCACATCCAACGACAACTATCGTGCATGTTTACTCTATTAACATGACGAGATTCTTGATAGCAATGGTATACACTTCAATTTGAACTTCCGAGTAGAATCGACTGAATTTTTGCACAAATGTACTGCCCAATCAACGTGCAATAACGAGAACTTTCAACCAATCATCGTGTAGTGTAGTTTGCAGTTTGGCCCAGTCCATATATGCAAGTTTGTATACTATACACTGAATAAGCACTCAAATCGATTCTGCCACGTCCAAAATTCTGCGACAAAGACAACTTCACCCTCGTTTATGAGACACCGTAGACGTACTTGATCGGCCATGGTCATCGCGTCCTGAATGAGCTGAAGGGTGGAGCCAGCGGCGGCAAACTTTTGATGGTGCACAGACTGCGCCAAGTTTTGGTAGCTGTGCGACCGCAGCACAATGTACGTGGACGATCCTTCCGCGTCCGGCATGACGAATGACGGCGGCACGTCCGGCGCTTTGAACGGAATCACATGCGGAGGTGGCGGCATCATCTGGTGGGATCCTCCGCCCATGTGGTGGTTGCCACCACCTCCCGGACCGCCGTGTCCGTCCTTGGGAAACGGGCGCAGTTCCTTGTCTCCGTGTGCAAAATGACATTCGTCACCAAATGGACACGAGCCTTGCTTTTCCCAATGCTTGCAGATTGCAATCTTAAAGAATTCGTTCACCGGCTACAAACACATTGAGATCGACGTGAGCGGGGTTGACGCTTGGATAAAGGGTGTATGTCGACGGACGTACCTGGGCCTTGCGACGCTTGGCACTCTCTTCTTCCGCGACCTTGCTCTGCAAACCAAAGTCGGCGATCACTGGACACTCTTCGCGCGACAACTTGACGTGGCGATACCGACACGCGGCGCCGTGGGAGCAAAACCCTTGCTTGTAAAACGCACATTCCATGCGATCTTCGTCGGGGACGTGGCGAAACGGACATTCGGGCACTTGACACTCCATGCCCCACCGACATTCTGGCATCTTGGACATATCGTACTGATGCAGAAACTCGCAGTTGTCGCCCTTCATGCACAACCCGCGCAGCCAATGTCGACACACGACCGTTCCTCGCTTAAAATCCTTCTTCCCATCTTCGTCCACAAGAATCACAGGAGTGGACTCATGGAGAGATGGCAAGATCGCTTCGAAGTCGAACACCAAGTTCTCCTCGTCGTCCAACCACAGGTTGGTCCCGTACGCCATGCTTTAGTGTGCCCGAGGAGTTTGGATAGCCCACCAATTTCGATTGCAAAAGGATACGGATAATTCCTGGAATATTATCCGGTACTATCCAGATGACAAGTAGATGAGGTCAATTCACTTGACCACCGTCATAGTCGAGCAACAGAGTGCAGTTCGCTCGTGGCATGCACTAACGCAATACCTCAAGCCATTGCCCTGAGTCACCCACCTTCAGAGCTGTACATGATGGGGCAGACAGCCAAGGTAGTCGCGTCTGGACACAGCCAACCTTCGGCAATCAAGCCACCGTAAAAAGGTCCATCAAACGGTGACTGTACATGTATTATCGATGAAGTGGCAACGTACGGCTAAGGTTATGTCGGGCGCGGGTGTACATAAGGAGGATCCGATCAGATGAATCCATTCGTCGTGGTCTGCTGACCGTTGGGTGGTATTTTTATCCTGTCCGCCATGTTGGAAATTCATAGTCCGGTAGTTCGCCACGCATCCACGCCCTTGAGGAAAACGGCATGTCATTTGCGAACATGAAACAATCTGGAGAGTTCACCCCGTTGGCGACCCCTGCCAACTCGAGTAATCTGCACTCGATGCAAGTGCCCCTCGTGTACGTGCAGCCCGAGCCCATTCGCGGCGACTACATGGTAGACCGGTCCTCGTCGGGCGTGCCAACCTCGGAAGGCCCTCAGTTTTGGAAGGCTGGAGTGTTTGAATGCTTTCAAAACATCTTTCCCAATGGTAACGTATGCCATGTTTCACGGCTTTAATGACCAGGCTTGTTTAGCACTCATGGCCTGGCTGTGTCCCTGTGTGTCGCTGGCTCAAATCACGTCTCGGCTCGGCGTGTACGGCGGCTATAAAACTGTTCTCTTGGGGGTTGCAACCATTGTGGTGCTGGAAAACGTCTTGAACGGCGTCGATGACTGGCGCATGGAACACCCCAAGTTGGACGAAGACGACGGGCGGGGGCGACGGGTCGGGGGCTACGGCGTCCTGTCCCTGTTGCTGTGCATGGCGCTAGTGTGCTTCGTCACGGCTGTTCGCACCAAAGTCCGCAGCTTCCACCGAATCCAAGGCAGCGAATGGGAAGACTTTGCCTGTTCGTTGTGCTGCATGAGCTGCACCATCGCCCAAATGTCCACCCAAGTCGAATCGTACACGCCTGGGGTGTGTGCGTTTGGACCCCGCGACACGTTGCAAGGCTATGCCCAGCATGTATAACCCATATATACTTTGAGTTACGTAACTTAAAGCACATGTATAATTCGACGATACTATTGATATTATTCCGTCTATAAGTATCGTGACGGACGTGGACAAGGCTGCAATGAAACTGTCCTCATGACCATATAACAATGCACATGTAACGTTAACTTATCAAGATGTAGAACACGAGACACATTGAAAAGTGATTAGGAAAAGTGATGATTGTTGACCGTTGAATTTGGACTACCGTTAGAATTCTTCCAATTGGTTGTCAAGTGTGTTTGTTCCCTACAGTATGGCCACGTCACTTGTTCCAGTCAAGACGTGTGTGTGGATTGTACTGAGTAGTATCACGTAATAACTGTGGGACCCCCACCCGCTGCCGTTCACGCTCTCGTCGCAAAGGGATGGCCATGAATGCAAGGAATTCGAGTGCTCGTACGCCTCCTGAACGGCCCAGTACAAACTACGACTACTACGTAGTAATACTGAAGTACTACGTAAGCTTATCAAGAGTACAGGACCACCGACGAACTAAGTGGGTTATTTTCGACATTCGTCGTGACGTGACCATGGGAATGGTACTACCGGTAGTACACGATAGGCTGTAACGTTATAAACAACTAACTTGTCCTGGTGCATTCATACGCATAACGCTCAAGTTTACACCAACGTGTTGCCGTACACGACGTGGTAGGCAGGGATGGTGCTGCGGGGCCCGAACGAGCACTCGCCAGGTGTGTACGCTTGCACTTCCGTGGCCATCTGGGCAATGGTGCAGCAGTTGCAGAAGTACGAGCACAGAAAGTCTTCGCATTCGCTGCCTTGGATGTGATGCACGCGACGGACGCGGGTGCGAAGCACCGCGAGGAACAGCGCTGGCAACAGCGCCGTCAACGAGCTTAGGGTGGCGTACGTGATGAGTCGGTTGATGTTTTGAGGGGTCCAGTGGCCTTGGTCTTGTTCGTAGTTGTCGACTTCGTTTTGAGCGAGCCCGGCAAACGCGTGATGGGTGCAGTAGATCACGAAAAGCACCGCCAAGACGCCGCAGTACCCTCCGAACGCGCCAAGGCGAGACGCGATCTGGGCCACAGCCACACATGGGCAAAACAGGGCCATCAAAGCTACTCAAGGATGTCAACAATCAGCTCAGCTGGGCTGATATGACACGAACCATTGGGCGTCGACTGGAAGCATTCAAATATGCCCGACTTCCACATCGTGCTGGCCACAACAGGGATGCCATACGCTCCTTGCGCTGGACCAGTGACGTATTGCGTATAGTTGGGTGGGTACGGGATGGGCTGCGGCGGCACGAACATGGTCGGCTGGAATACCATGGGTGACTTCTCGTCCATGGGCGACATCGTGGAATGAGCATTCGAATCCAGGCCATTCTTTATCTTCGACCCAAACAGGCTCTTCGACCCAAAAGTTCTGTAGGTCGCAGAAAAGAATGCGTGCGTTGTTTCGACGTGCATTCTATGAATATATTGTTACTGCACACAATATTTGCAAAAAATATAAGTAAAGTGAAACAATACCGGAGATATATTTAATAATTCAAGCGTTTAGTAAACGTTTGCAAAAGTAGCGACTGACTTTCGATCGATCACCTTTGCCGGCGTGAACCTTGATAACCTATGTCGTCCGTCAACTCTTCCGAAGCTGCCCCTCTGACTCACTCTGAAGAGGTGCAGCCATCATACCAAAAGCAACTTCCAGTGGAGGGAGTGCCCAATGTGGTTCTGAATCACGCTCTACCAGCGTGGAAAGCTGGGATCTGTGGCTGCTTCAGTTCTGGTGTCAACTGTACGAGTCATCATTCCAATCGACGATATCAAGATGCCTGAACTCTTATCATCATCCTATGGTTGTATGTAGCGTTCATGTCTGCGTTTTGCCAATGCTTCGTGCTGGCCCAAGTCGCGTCTCGCCTCGGCAACGTGTTTGGTGGGTATGCGGGAGTGTTGATAGGCGTGCTAGCGTTCACCGTCCTCGGCAACCTCTTCCGCGTTTACGCTGAACTGGACTGGTACTCCATCCACACCCACGGACGCCCCGTGGACATCTACCTCGAAGCGGAAGCCACGCGGTTCAACGTCGCCGCCACCTTCGCGGCCTTGGTCATCGTCACGTTTGTCGCCTGGTTGCGCCACCGTGTCCGATCGTTCTTTCGTATTCCCGGCAGTCCCGCAGAAGACTGCTGCTGCGCTCTGTTTTGCCACTGCTGCACCGTCGCCCAAATGTCCACCCAAGTGGAGGTGTATGGTCCTGGACAGTGCTGCTCCGTGGGCCCCCGGGACACATTGCCAGCGTATTACGTGGCGGTGCCGCTGCAATAGCTGGTCATTGTCAGCAGCCATACTGCAGTACGACGTAGTAGCACTAGCTTGCCAACCCATTCAAAGGAATCCAGTGGTGTGTTTTTTGCTATACTACTCTAATCGTTGATGTGTACTGTGTTGTTTCTCCAAACGTGCTTTGGTTTACAGTTAGTTCATCTGACAGCTATGAACGGATCGACAAGCTCTTGACTTGGGATCCGTTCAACAGGACTAACGAACGCACAACTTCCATGTATCAAGGGTAGTCTCCAAAATGTACTACCTCCAAGTGCAGGCAAACATTCAATGCAATGCAAAACCCATGTAAAACGAATCTGTATTTAAAAGGTTTACACTACCGGTACAGTAGGTACATGAGTCACAGACACCGCTCATGCGATCCTCTGCTTCCATGCGCGTATCCATCAATTCCAATGCAATCGCGTCATCCTCAGTCACATTATTGCTCCGAGGGATCTTGTAGCTGTTCTCGCCATTGACCCCAACAATCGCATGCATTACCCGTCGCCAGGATGGCACACTTGAACGATTCCTTGACAGGTCCTCCATGGACCGACCGACATTCCGTTTTATGCTGCAGTGACTGAATAGAAGAAGCCCAGGTAGAACGTTCAGGTCCTCAGTCTCCGGACCTGAACGTTCTAGACCTGGCCTTCTTCAACTCTTTTGTGCCAACCAGGTCTAGGTAGAACGTTCAGGTCCTCAGTCGCCGGACCTGAACGTTCTAGACCTGGTTGGCACATTAGCTGGATGTTCCAACCACCCTCAGTTGCCGCTTGAACAAGCAAGGCATCGTCGACAGCAATGTGCCCCATTTGAGCTTACTTGCAGAAGCTCTTAGCGCCATGCGCTTGCCGTATGTCAAATTTGATTTGGAATTTGTATTGCGAGCAGACATGGAGTGGTCGAAGGCATCGAGGGAATATTTATGCATTTCTCAAGGTCCAGATAGCCTTTTTCAGTGAAACTTCTTGTGTGCTCATAACTAAACGCCATATTAAAAACGTTCTTTGGATGTCAGGTGTAGAAATGAATATCTTGTGAGATATTTCACAAAACATGACGGAAATGAGGCAAATATGACATTTACAAATAATAACCTATATATTTTAATAGTATTAATTTTGACGTTTATACAGGAAAGCTTATATGAATACTCTCAAATATAATATTTCGAAATAACCCTAATCCCGATACCCTGGATGCCTTCGACCACTGTTACTTAGCAATGTTGTTCGAATGCAACAAAAAATATGATCAGAACCATCAATGAAACGACCACACTCCACTAAGTTTAGGCCAATCAGATAACTGGAACACTAATTTTTGTCACCAATGTGACAGGCGCCGGGAAATGGTAAAGTGAAGTTGAACAACCAAGCTACTACCGGTACTAGTATTTACAGACAGCAGGTATTAACATAAATGTCGGCTCCATATCCGGATAAATTAAGATCTGGAATTCAATGCTTTGACAAGCAACGATGGGTTCGCTCTGCTGCGGCGACGACAGGGTCAATAAAGTTCACGTTGCCCACGGTTTGTACTTTTACATGAACCAAGATCGTCATGTGTATGTTGTGCCTACCTAGCTGGCTTGTTCGCCTGCTGCTGTCCTTGCGTGACGCTGGCGCAGGTGAGCTCGCGCTTGGACGTGTTCGGTGGTTACACTGTCGTACTCTGGGGTTCGTTGGTTGCCGTTGTTGGGGCCATGGTCTCAACTGCCACGAGCATACGAACCCAGAGTATACTCTCAGGCGCTTCTAAGCTTTGGTTTTCCAACGCAAACACGTTGCAAGTGCTGTCACTGTGCTGCTCGGTGGTCCTGGTCGTGTTGGTGACGTTGCTGCGAGGCCAAGTCCGACAGAGGCGGGGCATGACAACCAACACGTTCCGCGATTACGTGTGTGCAGCTTGTTGTCCTTGTTGTTGCCTTGCTGAAATGGCCATCATGGTGGGGACTCCAGAAACGTACAAGAAGTGTCCATTTGGTTCATGTGAAATCCTCCCCGCCTACGATCCCAAATAAGTCTTAAACGACGGACTTCAAACGAATGCTCCTTAACGAAACTTTGGCTTTCTAGCTTATATAATTCACTCAAAACTACTTGGGATATTAATATTTCGAAGCGACGAGCACCGCCGCCCGCTGGCCCGCCAGCCGTCCAAAGACTACGCATTCGGTGAGCGAATTGCCGCCCAAGCGGTTGCCGCCGTGGAGTCCGCCCGACACTTCGCCCGCAGCATACAGCCCCTTCACGGGCGTCGTGTGGTTGCCCAGCACGACTTCGGCATGTTCGTTGATCTGCACGCCCCCTACAACAAGTCCACATCGTATCTCTACACACTCTTCGTATCTTTCAACCCACCCATGCAATAATGCACCACGGGCTCCACTTCCAACACAAACATCGGGCGCAACTCCGTGACGTTAGCAAACGCCGTCCGGCCAAACGTGTCCGCGGCTTGTCCCCGCGCCGCCTTCAAGTACGAGTCGAACTCGGCGTCCAAGACCGACTGGGGCACCCCCACGACTTGGGCCAACG